CACGGCGAATTCTAGACCAACCCAAGTTCCACACTGAGACTCTTTCTTTGAAAAATTAAAAATCCTCTTTTCACATAACAAAAGATGCTTGTAAATACAATCATCTTTAGACTCCAGGGACATAGTTTGATAATGGTTTGTACTGGTGCAAAATATTTGTAAAAATAACATGCTAAAATAATTTATGAACATTTAAAAATTTACATATTATTATCATATGCCACGGCACATGTGTGGAGGTCAGCGAACAATTCTCAGGACTTGGTTCTCCTGCCACCGTGTTTCAGGGGTAGATCTTAGATCCTCAGACATGCACAGCAAACTCTTTTAACCACCGAGCCAATGCAGGTCCCCAAAATGTCATCAACAGCACTTTAGTAACCTTTGAAGAGTATAAGTCATTAGCATTAATCAAATGGTAATCTTTCTCTTGGTATGACTATAATAAGAGTTTCAAAGTTTTCCGAATCACTCTGAAATTCTAGGTGGCCTCTGCTGAAGAGCCACCTTTCCATGGCTAGTTTCTGGGCAGAAGTTAACCCCGTGCCAGCTTTTCCGAGGCATGAGTCAACCATCTCTCTCTATGCAAAGAAAAGTCTGGAGCTGGTAGCAGGATGGTGACAGCCAAGACTGCAAAGTCTGCCAGTCCTCTAAGCTTTCTTAGTTCTTGGCTGGCTTTTATTGGAGTGCAGTGGTTCGCCCCACCTCCCGCTACTCCCCCCCCCCCCTACACCACCACACCTTCTTCAGGCCTCTCTCAGCTGGGGAAGCACCTGGGGGCTGCTTCTCTCAATGTGCACTGCACTATTCTACAAATGGAAAGGATTCCAAGTCTCCCCTTCCCAGCAGGTCTTCCTGGAAGATTTGCCTGCCTCTTAAGGGATGTGTCCTAGATTGAGCAGAGTTAGGAGTCTTAAGAAGTCTGATGATAGATTTCCACGGAGGAATGAAAGAGGAAGTGTGTGCGGCAGGTGGATGTGTGGCCCTGTAGCGGGACTGGCTTGATTTCTGAGCTGATACTGCCCCCTAGTGTAGAAAAGCTAGTACATTAGTATCTGGATGGTAGAAAAGTATACGAAAAAGGCAAGGAAGAGAGTTTCTTATCAGAAAGATGTTGCGGGACATCTGAAAACCACTTCGACCTCTGCTTTGAAATTCTCCCCATGGAACAAATACGAAAATAGACGTGCAATGATTTGATGCCATGAGACACTCGATCACTGACAGAAGCCAGAATGCCAAGCAGTGGTCTCATTGGTGATTCCCATTGCTCTCTGTTGTGCTAAGGAGAGTTTAACACAAGCTTTGAGAATGTCCTCACACGTAGTCACAGAACCCAACCGGCAGGCTCTGGCCCACAGCTGTCAGCAAGTTGTAATTGCAGACTGCCTTCTCTTAATTTAAAACATTATCCAAGATATATAGAAATAAAGGGGATTGCAAGGGACAACAGATAACCATATATTAGCAATTGATAAAGTAGGCCAATGGTTAGAAACACGTTACTAAAACTGACTTGTGAAGAAATAGAAATCTGAACATACCTTTAACTATAGTAAAGGGATTGAGCAGATGAGTAAAACAACTCCCTATTATGTTTGCTTATTGTATTTTGAGTCTTTGATCCCTATCTAGAGGCACTGTTTCAAAAGGCTGTAAAATCCTTAGGAGGTGAGATCTAGATTGAAAAAGCGGGTTGTTAGGAGTTTTCCTTGAATGTTAGTAGCCTAGACCTGTTTCTGGCACTCACACAAGGCGCGAACCTGGAGGCAGAAGATGATGCAGAGACCATGGAGGGAGCTGTTTCCCGCTTCTTCCTCATGGCTTACTCTGCCTGCTTTTCATAGCATCGGGAGTTGGCCCCACCCACAATGGGCTGGGCCCGCCCACATCTGTCACTAATTATGAAATGCCCTATAGGCTTGCCTACAGCCTGGTCTTATGGAGGTGTTTTCTCTGTTGAGGGTTCTCTCAGATGACTCTAGCTTGTGTCAAGTTGACACAATACTAGTCGGCACAGGTTCTCAGTGGGAAAGGATAAAGAAAGATCACTTGTTAGCAGGTGACATGGTCTTAGGAGCCTACCAAGACAAAGAGGAATAAGAGCCAGCAAAGTAGCAAAGCTACGAAATTGGTGCTCAGAAGTCAGCTGTGTTTCTTTAAACTAGCAACGGATAGTCTGACTTTATAAGGAATTTTAAAAAGCATTTCAATTTACAATAGACTTAAAAATAGTTCAAAGTAAAATTAACAGGAGACTAAAGATTTATTCATCAGAAACCATAAAATACTGCCGAAAATTTAAAGACACAAAGTGGAAAGACATCCTATGCACATGAATAAAATATTGATGTCTTAATATTTTAGAAAGTCATTGCTGTCCACAGAAATCTACAAACCAGTGATGTTTTTTGCAGATTTTTTTTTAAAATCCATCTGACAACATCTAAGATTTCACTGGGTACCCTCAATAGCCAAAATGACTTCAAAGGAGAACAATAAATTCAGGAGGTAGTCTCATAATTCTTGATCTCAAAAATTAATGCGAAGCCAACAGTAATTAAAACAGTGTGATATTAGCATACAGGGTGGTGATATATGAACAGTGGAATACGTTAGGCAGCTCTGAAATAAACCTTCCCAAAGATGGTCAGAAGATTGTCAACATTAATGGCAAAAGCACTCAGTTGGAAAAGAACAGGCTTTTCCAAACTGGTGTTGGGCGCTGGATCTCTCCATGCAGAAGAACAGTAATGGATCCTAATCTTACAGTACATCTAAAATTTAAAATGGATTGATTGATTGATTGACTTAGGTTTTTTTGAGACAGGGTTTCTCTGTAGCTTTGGAGCCTGTTCTGGAACTAGCTCTTGTAGACCAGGCTGGTCTCGAACTCACAGAGATCTGCCTGCCTCTGCCTCCCAAGTGCTGGGATTAAAGGTGTGCTGGATTTAATTTTTAAAATTTATTTATTTTACATCCTGACTGCCGTTTCCCCTTTTTCTCCTCCCAGTCCCCCCTCAGACATCTCCCCTCTGCAAGTCCCCATCCTCTCCTCCTCTGTTTCTATTCAGAAAAGGGCAGACCTCCCAAGGACATCAACAAAATATGACATGTCAAGTTGCAGTAAGACTAAGCCCTCCCCCCCCCCCGTATTAAAACTGGGCAAGGCAATGAAATATGAGGAATAGGGTCCCAGAAGCCAGCAAAAGAGTCAAAGATAGAAATTCTGGGGGAAATGAAGCCACTGGGAATAATCATTGCCGTTGAGACAGTGTGAACCCCTCATGCCTGGGTCCTTGATGGTGCAGTTCAATGATTGGAGCTGGACACTAAGGACTGTGGGAGAGAACAGTGACAGGGGGATGGCAGGATGTGAGAGCATCTCAGAATACCAGTAGACTTGCTTTCTGGTGGCCGGTGTTAGTCACCGGTCGGTCAACAAGCAGGAGCCTGAGAGCTGCCGCCACCGTTCTGCAGTGCTGGGAGGGGATCAGTCATGCCATTTGGTTTAAGATGGTCCTTCACCTGTTGCCCGGCACGGACTGTAGTGGTTCATTACATAATTTTATAGTCAGACCCTTATGCCGACACTTCCTCCGAGCAGCTGGGGCAGCTGATATTTTTGCTACAGAGTTCATGATGTCCTGCGAGTATCTTAGGAACGGGTTGTATGTATTGTACAAAACAATGTGTTTAGCAACAAAGCGAGTATTTTTATGAGAATGCCGGCCACAGTGTGGGCTTGCACCAGAGGGCCTGGGTGTTTCATTGTGGACTTTACATAGTTTGGGGAAAGTCAGTCATCTCCAGAGGTCCAATATACATATTCCTAGAGGTTCAAAAATGTAGGATCTTTCTGTGGCATTAACAATGTTCATGGCCCAGGAGACCCTTGTAAATAGCCAATAATCTGAACTTAAAAGGCATATCACCATAGAGTGCTTTGTAAACACATTTATGGTGTGGGGGAATGGCTGCCCCAGTAATGTAGTTATTTGTTTATTACCTTGATAGTCTAACCTGTTCTTAAATTTTTCATTTGTAAGTCAGGCAGTGGTGGCAAATGTCTTTAATTTCAGCACTTGGGAGACAGAGGCAGGCAGATCTCTGAGTTCGAGGCCAGCCTGGTCTACAGAGCGAGTTCTAGGACAGCCAGGGCTGTTACACAGAGAAACCCTGTCCAGAAAAACAAAAGCAATTTTTTCAGTTATGTATGTATGTTTATATGAATGTATGCATGCATATAGGTTTGTTTGTGTGCCCTGGTGCATACGTGGAGGTCAGAGAATAACGTTCAGGGATCACCTCTCTCTTGGCTACCATTTGGATGTTGGGGACCAGACTTTAGGTCCTTGAGATTGACAGAAAATACTGTGCTATTTTGCTGGCCTTGGCCAAACATTTCTTGAAAAGATCCCTCCTAGTTATCACATTGTACCTGTGAATATTCAGGCTGGAGAAAAAACTCAATAGAAGACTTTGGAAGATCATCCAGGCTTTGGAAATTGTAATTAATGTTGAGAGGTGTCCTGGATGTGGGTAGTGTCTCTGTGACAACCATAGACTTCAGGCTGTGGTGCTGAGGGGGTGGTGGCACTTGGTCCTGGAGGGCCATGATGATGCATTCCTCTGGGGAGGTCTCAGTTTTTCTAGCCCAGGGACGCTCCAGGCGTAGACACCTACTGAGTATAGTGTGACGGTCCTTTGAAGCACATGGTTATGTGAGCAGGTATTTGACTTCAGCTCCATTATGTCCAGGAGCTAAGCCTTCTAATTTTTCTCTTGGGTCCTAACCTTTCACTTTAGATGTGAGGCCTGCAAGGGGATCAGAGATTTCCTGTTCCATGCTTTAGATAAGTCAGCCATTGTCCAAAATGCAAAGCGATTCTTGTTTTAAAAACTTGGGTGTGAAGTTTTTTTGGGCAAATGCTGTTGTTCTATGAGACAAATGATTTTCTTATCTCTTGTTCCTCACTTTTTCTCCTCCCCACCTCCAGGAAGGGTGTCTGTGGCCTTCTGACAGCTCCGTGCAGCGGCCAGGGGCTTCAGAGGTAAGGTGGAGGCTGTGGGAGAAGCCATGGCCTCAGCCTTGGATTTGAAATCAACCTTAGGATGAAGTCATTGTTTGGTTAAAAGGGGGAAAGGAGGGATTTCCCCTTAGAACCATGTGTCTACGCTCTATGCAGAGAATAGGTTGAAAATGGCTGAACATTGAATTATCTTAGAACCACCAGCTAGACTTTGCAAGTGTAGGCATAGTTTGTACATGCCAAGCAGCATGGATTCTTCTCACATGCCAAATTTAATAATAAAACATTTGAGGCAGGGTCTCAGCATGTAGCCCTGGCTGGCCTGGAACTTGCTGTGTGAATTAGGCCAGCCTTGAACTTAAAGATCCACCAGCTTCTGCCTCCCAAGCTTGGGCTAAAGGCATGTCCCATAATTCTCATCGATTATCCAAATTTTTAAAGTGTTTCAATATAAATGTAAAAATAACAAAACGTAGGTGTACAAAGGTCATGGAACAATCAAATGTGTGGGGCCCAATGTAGGTGTTTGCTGTCAGACTAAATCAAGTTCTCTCAGAACTTTTCTCACTATCTGCCTGTAGAAAAATAAAGAAATCGTAGTGGTCTCCTTCTGGCCACACAGACTCCATGTTGGTCTTTCTTAATGTAACTAAATATCTATATGCTAGAGGTTAGCAATAAAATGCAGACAGAAGATAGGTTTATTTAACATATGCCTAGCTCATAGCATTGAGTAGAGTTGGGCTTAGAATAAACTTTAGGAGTAAGACATTGTCTAAATTTTATTAAGAGGATCAACAGAATTCTAACCTAGAATCATTCAATTGGAGTTTTCATGTTGCCACAATTTTACCACTACATTGTTCTTGTCATTCTAGTCAAGTTTTATATTTGATTATAGAACAAATAAAACTCATTTGTTCATAACTTTGTCATGTATTGAAATTTTAAGATAGTATGCTTTGCCTTTAAGTACAAAGTATGGTTTGATACCCATCAGTGGTTATATGTATATACATTAATATATTAATCTACAATGTAGCTGTACACATGCGTATAACATTTTTCTTCTAGGAGATAATTGGGATAAAGGGAGATTTATTTATATAATGAACTTTTGCCTTAACATTAGAAGTAATGGGCTTTATTATGTCATTTTCATACTTGATGTGTCTACTTTATTCATATTTGGTTCCCTCCCCACTGTCTTCTCTTCTTCTCCTCTCTGACTGGTTCCCTTCCTCCCCCCAGTAGCCTCTTCTATTCTTATCACATATATTCTACAACCCTCCATTTCACTTCCACTAAGATTTTTCTAGTGTTCCCTATATAATTTCATAACTCATGTTTCCTTTATAACTTCATAACTCCTCTTCCCTAGTCCCCCTCATTGTAAACTAGGTTCTTCATATAAGAACAAAACATGAAATTTCTGAGTTTGGTTTATTTTACCTCACAATGATTTCAGTTCCATTCATTTTCCTGCATACATCACAATTCCATTTTTCTTTACCTGTTCAATATGTTTAATCCATTCATCTGTTGATGGATATCTAGGCTGGCTTTTATTCCCTGGATATTGTGAATGAGATAACAATATGGATGTGTAAGTATTTCCTTGGTGTGTTTCCCTGGAGTACTTGGTACATGTTTGTAAGATTGTATAGCTGGGAACTTTGGTAGTTCTGGTTCTTCCATACCCATATCCACAAGTCCTGTCTTGTGGAGCAGGCCTTAAATTCAATCAGCAAGTAATTGGCTATCCTTGTGACATCCATGCTTACTTGCTCTTGTAACTCTCAGGGTTCATAGGTGGGTAAGATGGAATTGTTTGCATTTTCCCAGTGGCTAGAGATGTTGAACATTTTAAAAGGCCTCTCAGCGATTTGCTTTCCTTCCTTTGAGAATTCTATTTGGTTCTGTGCCCCAGTTTTAATGGGGGTGTTTGTTTCAAGACTGTCAGATGTCCAGCTGGTAAAGACGTCCTCCCCCTTCTGCAAGCTGTCTCTTTGTTCCTATGGTAGTGGCCCTTTCCTGTGCAGCTTTTTCGTGCCATTTGCCAACAGTTGGTCTGCACTACTGGGGTCCTGTCAGAAGATTCTTTCCTGGGCCTACGATTTGAAACATAGTTTCTACTCTGGTCACTAGCGGTTTCAGGGTATCAAGTGCTATGCTGAGGTCCTTGGTCCATTGGGAGTTGAGTTTGGTGCAGGGTAAATGATAAGGGTCAACTTTAACCCTTCTCCGTGGAGCTCTCCAGTTCCATCAGTATCAGTTGTTGAAGATACGGTCTTTCTCACAGTGTACCCGGATGGCCTTCCTGTCTAAACTCAGGTGGCTGTGGGAGTGCAGGCTTAATTGGGGTCTTCAGTCTGTGCTGTCAGTGTGTCTGTTTCTATGTTGGTACAATGCTATTTTCTGTAGTATAACTTCACATCTGGGCTGGGGATAACCTCTGCAGTTTTCATCGCTCAGGATTATTTTCGCTATCCGTATCTTCAAGCACTAATGTCCTCTTTTCCACTTGATCATTCAGTTGGCCAGGCTTTCCACGGAGCTTTTTATTTGGCTTATTAAATTTTCCGTTTCACATTCTATTTCAGTTGGGCATTCAGAAGTGCTCTTTACTGAATTGTTCTTTCATATCCTGATTTTTTTTCCTTGTCTCAGTCAGCAGATTGTGTTTTTGTGGTCTTCATTCTGGCTTTTATGCATATCCTCTTTGAGTCAGGCTTGAGCATGTTTATAATTAATATTTTGAAACCATTAAATTGCCTGTCCAAGGGGAGATAACTATAGGAGTCCTTGTTTTTGGAGGAGACATTCTGTCTTGTTTATTTCTGGTATTTGTGCTTTGCAATGGGCTTTAGGTACCTGAAGTTAGGTCATGTTTTTCTTTTGTTGTTGTTTTTTGCTTTGTTTTTGTGGTTTTTGGTATGGCTATTGCCCTACCTTTGCTGAGTAGACATTTGGATCTATGTTTGCTATTACCTCAAACTGTCAGATTATGGAACAGCTGGTGTTTCAAGTTCAGTCTTGGAGCTACTAGGTGGTGGTGCGTGAATGGGGTCCCAGATCACCTGAGGCTAGGGCTATGGCTTGCTTCTGAGTACAGAAACTAACTTTCTATAGAGTTAGAATGTTCTCACTGCAGCAGGTTCCCAGAAATATGTGGAAGGTTCAGTCAGTTCTGCTGGTGGTCCTAGGTAAAGGATTGGGGTCACTGTGACATGAAATCAGCTTGGTCTTGTTGATGTGTTCTTGAATTTGGTTTGTCAGAATTTTGTTGAGAATTCTTCGCTCTATGTTCATCAGGGAAACTATTCTGTAGTTTTCTTTCTGTTGTGCCCTTACACACTTTTGTTATTAGGGTATTCGTTGCCTTTGTAGGATGAGCTTGGTAATGTTCCTTTCTTTTCTATTTTATGGCACAGTTTTAGAAGCACTGATGTTGGCTTTTCTTTGAAGGTTTGGTAGGAGCTGATAATAAGCCCATCTGGTCCTCGGCTTGTCTTTGTTGGGAGACATTTTGTTACTGCTTCAATCTCATTGGTTGTTATGTCTGTTTTTTTTATCTTCTTGACTTAATTTTGTACATCATATTATATGTCTATAAATTTAACTATTTTTCTTAAATTCCCCAAGAATAGAAGTTCTCAAATTAATTTTAATGATTCTCAATATTTTACTGAAATCTGTAGTAATTTGTCCTATTTCATTCTAATTTTATTTGTGTCTTATTTTTGTTTAGGTAAATTTAGTGAAGGTTTATCCATCTTGTTTTTGTTATTGTTCTTAAACCACTCTTCATTTTACTGATTCTACATATTTTTTTCTTTTCATTGCCATTTCATTAGTTTTTGTTATACTGTCTTGGGGTTTGCATTGTTCTAATTTTTCAAGAACTTGAAACACTTCATTGGGTTATTTGAGTTTCTTTTATTTGTTAATGTAAGCACTCACAGTTATGGCATTTCCACCGAGAACTGCCTCTCTATATCCCAGATGTAAAAGTTAACTTTTGCTTTCATTTTCAAATGATTTTCAGAGCTTTAAATTTGTCTTCTTGATTTTTTTTTTTAAAGGGCCGATTGGTCATTCAAGAGTATGTTGTTTAGGACTTGGGATGTGGCTCAGTCAGTAGAGGGCTTGCCTAGCAGTCACTCTGGCTTTGGTTCTCAGCAGTGAGTAATCCAGGTATCCTCAGCTGTAATCTCAGTGCTCAGAGGCAGAGTGAGAGCAAAGTCAGAACTATAAGGCTGCATCGTGAACTTGACCCTTGATGGCCAGCCTGCAGAGGCAGGGAAGAAGAGATGGGAAGGGAGGGAGGAGAGGGTAAGAAGAAAGGAAGAGAGAAAGGAGAGGGATTTTTATGTGCTTGTGTGGGTTTTGTTTTTCTTACTGTTGTTTTCTATTTTCATTGCACTATTATCTAATAAGAAACAAATTCTTTCAACTTTTTAGTGTTTGTAGCCTCCACTGTGGTCTTTTTAGAGATTTCATAGACTCCTGAGAAAAGCGTGTATTCTGCTTCTGTTGCACGAACTATTTTGTATTATCTGTTAAATTCATCTGACTCGTGGTGTGCTTTAACACTGAGTCTTCTTTGTTGATACTCATCTTAGATGATCTATCCAGGGATGGAGTGGGTTATTGAAATCATTCAACACTGTATCATCTATGACTTTCTTGTTTTGTTTTATGAAATTAGGGGACCCCCTGTTTTGTCATATATATTTATGCTTATAATATCTTCTTGATTAATAATTCCACATTACACATTATTAATCTTTATCTCTTCTAATTTTGATTGGAAATCTGCTTTGTCATATCAGAATAGCCACACCAGCTTTTGATTTTCATTTGCATGTTAAATTGACTTCAGCTCTTTCTCGGTCTGTGGGTGTCTTTATCATTGAGGTGTGTTTCTTAGAGACAAGAGAAGTTTTGGTATATAGATTTTATCTAGTCATCCAGTCTGTATCTCTTTATTAGGTTAGTTGATGCCATTTACATTTAAGGTTATTATTAGGAGATATTTGCTAATCCCTCTACCACTTTTGTTAGTTGTTAGTCTAGCTGGTTATTGTTGGTTCTCCCTTGTTTACCTATTTCTCTCATGAGTTTATTCTTTCCTGTGGTTTCTTCCCCCTCTGCACATAGCATTCCTTTTAAGTCTCCTCTGTGGTTTTGGCTTAAAGATCAGAACTGCTTTGGTTTGTGCTTGCCTTGAGATGTACTTACTTCTCTGGCAACCTTAAAACAGCTCTAGATATATCAACCAGCAATTCTTTACTTTCAGGGATTGAAATATATCATCCATGCTCTCTTGGCTTGTAGGGTTGCTGGAGAGGTCTGATGTTAGTCTGATGCTCCTGCCTTTGTAGGTGAGTTCTTATTTTTCCCATACAGCATTTAATTGTTTCTTTGCCTTGTGTTTGCTGTAAAATGCCCTGGAGTTCTTCTCTGGTCATGTCTGTTTTGAGTTTTTAATGCCTGTTATTGCATGTCTGTCTCTTTCTCTAGATTTGGGACAATCTGTTTCTTTGAATACCCATACCCCAAGCCTTTAGTGTTTATCTCAATGCTTTTTTGTTGTTGTTTTCTATTCTGGGGATTCTTGATTGTGTCCCAAAGTTCTTAGCCATTACCATTCTTGTTCATTTTTTTTCTGTTTATGTTTAAATGTAGTGTTTTGTCAACCTTGCTCTGTATCTTTTTTTTTTTCCTTTTTGGCTTGGGTGAGTTTATTGAAGATTTCTATTGTATTTTTTACTTGATTCCTTGGATTTTGTACTTTCATCATTTGTAGGGTTTTTTTTCTCTCCAAATCTCAGCTTTCTTGATGAAGTTTTCTTCTATGTTGACCTTTCTTTCTTTCTTTCTTTCTTTCTTTCTTTCTTTCTTCCTTCCTTCCTTCCTTCCTTCCTTCCTTCCTTCCTTCCTTCCTTCCTTCCTTCCTTTCTTTCTTTTCTCCTTCCTTCTTTTTTAAAACCATATATTCCTATTTTCTTGTCCACTTTGCTGACTTCTCCCTCTCTGTGCTTTCTTTTCCAGGTTTTGGAATGAATTATCTTCTTGTGTTCTCTCTTACCCAAAACAAAACAAAACAAAACAAAACAAAAACCCAAAAAACCCTCAATCTTCATTTGGCATTTTATCAGTTTCCAAACCTTTGAGTTCAGCAGTTGCTAAATTAGTCTTCTGTGGAATCATGCAGCCTTTTCATGGTTTTGCAGCTGTGCCTTTTTATGTTTTTTTTTTTCTTATTTGTGTGTGTGTTTTTTCTTTGCAGTGTGCACATCCTGTTGGTTTGGATATCACTTCCATTGTAGGGGTGTTATTTTATCCAGCAACTTATTCTTGAGAGCTCAATTCCCAGCACCACACAGAAAAATAAAACTGTTGTAACAGTAGAAACAACATACCATATATGATACGGAAATACTCTTAACATTAATGACAGCTCACCAATATATCACCAAGTAGACCATATATAAGCTAGTTGTGGTATGCAGCTTTTAATCCCAGCACTTGGGAGGCAGAGGCAGGTGGATCTCTGTGAGTTTGAGGCTAGTCTGGCCTATAGAGTGAGTTCCAGGACTGTCAGGGTTATGAAGAGAGACCCTGTCTAAGAACACACACACACACACACACACACACACACACACACACACACACACGCACGATCGTGAAGCTGAAAGTAGCAAAACCATGGTAGACAGTGCTATAGGTTTAACGCTACCGAGTGGGTAAGTAGTAATGAAGTGGAGGAGAGGGACAGGCAGAGGATAGAGCCAGAGGCAGCAAGATCAAATAAAAGGTCACGAAGATGAGAGTGGAGGGAAATTGTTGTTAAAGGACTAAAGCGCAAGAGATCGGGGGAGGAGAAAATAAGGATTTCTTAATAATGCGTAAGTTCAAAACAGATTTAGATAAGTGCAAGGGGAGTGAACACCATGAATAGTTAAGGGCTGTCAAGATCGCTCAGTGGGGAAGGATGCTTGCGTCCAACCCCGATGACCTGAGTTTCACCCCAAGAACCCACATGGGATGAACAGACCGCTGCAAACTGTTGTGACCTCCACATGCATGCCATGAATGAGAACATGTGCTCGTAAATATATGTAAATTTTATAACTTAAAAACACGAAAAATAATATAAAGTAAAAATACTATTAAAGACAGAGCGGGAAAGGGAGGAACTAGAACAAAACCAGATATAAGGAAACCAAAGGAAGAACAAAATAGTGTTCAGTAATTGAAAGATGCATAAAAATGATCTTTTAATCAAAGTAAATATCTCTTCATTTATTAAAAATATTTATTTTATCATAAAAATAGGTGAGTGTATGAGGGGAATAATAAAAAAAATTGAAAGAATACAGTACAAATAAAAGCCCTGCTATGCATGAACCACAGAAGGAAACATGGCCAGTAAGACAGGTAAAGAGCCTGCTGTCCAGCCTGAGGCCCAGAACCCACGCGATGCAAGGAGAGACGGCATTCCTGCAAGCTGTCTTGTGGCTCACTTTTACATAGGTGCTGAGGTCCACGTATTCCCCTCACACAAGTAAATAAAATATATAGTTTTTGACTGATAAAAGAAATTCCAAAGGGAAGAAAAGGTGTGGTGTTGGAGCATGTTTCTGGGCCGCTGGAAACCGGAGACAGCCATGTCTTAAATGCATGGAGTCGGGGGCTGTTGCCTTGTGGACTTGGGTTTCCGTTGCCGAGTCTGTATGGTCCAAGTGTGTGGCGTCTGACAGAGCCTTTTCTTGTCAGTCTTCCTTTACTTGCCAGGAGTCTCTGGCGTCTCTACTTTAGCTTTGCAGTGAGCAGCAGTGTTGAGGTTGGCACAGGGGACGCCTGTCCTTCTACATTCCGAATCTCCTGTTGATTTCCCTGCTGGAGGTGTGCAGCTGGTCGTATCAACGACATCTCTGGAACTTCAGAGTTCTCCAACTCTAGCAGCGAAGGGAAAAATTTAATTCATTTACTGGCCTCATATTCAGAACTATTCATTCCAAGGTTATTCTCAATCCAAGATATCTGTTTCAAGCCACCCAGGGAGAGGGAATCTCTTTCTGTATACATCGTATACATCGTAGCATGAGCCAAGCCTCATGTGGCCACCCCCCTTTGGCCTGTCAGTGTCTATCCAGCCTGCTGTTCTCGGCCGCTTCTCTGGGTCTTCCCTCATCCAGGGCCTATGCCAGCCCAAACTGAGGTTCGCTGACCTGCCGCTGTTCCTCGGGGTAGCTCAGTATTTAGCAATAGATCCTATCTCAGTGTGGTGTGACAGAATAGGTTTTTCTCTGCCACTGGTCTGACTGCTCACGGAATCGCTAGCTCATTAAAGCCTGGGATTGGCGGACTGAGGGCCCAGCCTGAGGGTAGGATTGCCAGTCTTTTCTCCTGCTTACCTTTTGAAAATAATTTCTGGGTCCCTCGCCGACCAGTCAGGGAACTGAGGAGCCGAGGCTATGTTCAGCTTACTTCTCTGTGTTGCTTCTTCCCCCTCCCTCTCTTGACGTCCTTTGTGGATTTCTGGTGTGTTTCTGTCTACAGTCATGTCGATTTCCCCTTATGCCGGCTGTCTCTTTCACCTGCTCATACAGAGGCAGCCTGTACTACCATTTTACCAAGAAGACCCCAAGAGATATGTTTTAAAGAAAGCATATGGTTTGAGTTAATTTGGGGGGGGGGGAATCTACAATTATATTTACTTTGAAATTTTCACATTAATAACTAAAAATAACTGTAGCAAATGTGTATTGAAATAACTGTGAAAGTCCAGGAATTCAAAAGAAATTCACTTTTTTGGTTTATTTACAAAAGTAACCTCAGAAACCTCTCCTCACTTTGCTCATTCATGGGTTTTAGAGCTGTCTGGTCCCAAGAAAGCAAGAGGCTTGTCCTGTCTTGTCTTCTTTTTATGGGTAAAGCCTCTGAGGCTTGGATGAGGTCACCTGTGACTTGGTTGTCAGAGCCACAACATAGCATCATGCTTCATGCCTCATCCCTGTCCCCCACTCTCTCCACTCTGAGGTCCCATTTGAATCCCTGTCGCCTGCCTAAATAACTCCATTACATCCAAGTCTTCAGTTAGCTACTGTTCCCTACTGAAGTTTAGCCTTCCCGGAAATGTTAATACACATTGGGCTTCCCTCCGCCCCTCTAAGTTCCTGACAAGTTCTTTTCTGTCTTGCATGGGAAATGGTGTGAGGGGGTGTGAAAACTGGTGTGAACACAGAACAAGCTTGAGCTTCCCTGAGCCTATCCCCTTGTTGGTCACTGTTGTACTGAGAATGTCCTCAGGCCTCTTCTTTTTCCTTCCAGATCATGTGTACCCCACGGGGCAGGGATAGGTTTACCACCCCATCCTTCATCCAGCGGGATCCGTTCAGTCGTTTCCAGCCCACCTACCCCTACGTGCAGCACGAGATTGACTTGCCTCCTACCATCTCCCTGTCAGACGGGGAAGAGCCGCCTCCTTACCAGGGACCCTGCACCCTACAGCTCCGGGACCCAGAGCAGCAGATGGAACTCAACCGAGAGTCCGTGAGGGCCCCACCCAACCGAACCGTGTTTGACAGTGACTTGATAGACATTTCTATGTACAACGGGGGACCATGCCCACCAAGCAGCCACTCGGGCATCAGTGCAGCTACCTGTAGCAGTAACGGGAGGATGGAGGGGCCACCCCCTACCTACAGCGAGGTGATGGGCCACTACCCAGGCACCTCGTTCTTCCACCACCAGCATAGCAACGCACACAGGGGCAGCAGACCACAGTTTCAGCCGAACAACTCAGAGGGCACAATAGTACCCATCAAGGGCAAAGACAGGAAGCCTGGGAACCTGGTCTGAGTCCCTTCAGAGCGCACTTTGCTAGGAGAGAGAAACCTCGGCAGGGAGAGAGAGGCCCGCTGGCCCCCCTGCCACAGTGTTGTCCGGCTTTACGTCGTACAGCTGAGTAAAACCAAATGTGCAAACACGGTCTTCGTTTCTGATTCCTATCCTGGGAATTGCATGCAAACAAGACTGAAACAATACAAACTTGCATCCGGTTTGACCACAACAGTGTTCATCTTGGGGGCAGGGGTGGAGACGGGGCTAGAGTTGGTATGAGCTTGGCAAAGGGCGTACCAAGGAACCCGAGGAGGCTTGGAAGACTTCATGAAAGTAAGACCCATAAAGGTATTTTTGACCTATTTAATTCCAAAAGGAGACTGCAGATAAATGAGGCCAGAATGGCCTGTTTTTTATAATTAACTGAATAAAGAAGGAAGAATTATTATATATTATCACGGGGAAGAATCAGTCAGTTTGCTTTTTCTCCAAAGGTGTGAAACTTTTATTTTGTTTTAAAAATATGAGTCAAAACTCCTGTTTTGTGTGCCAAGGTATAAAGTGGATAGAGGAGCGAGAGGAAATAATTTCTGTTGATGGTATGCTTTAAGAGTTGCACTATCGTAATGTTTAAAATATGGACGAGGGAACCTATGTTGTGTGAAGGTCTGTATGTTGTCTTGTCACTTATGGGTGGCTGTTATACCCAAGGAACATCCTTGAGAGTCCTACAGAGTCATATGAGAAAGGGTTTGGGGAACGTGCCCTGGTGTTTACTGAGTTCCACGCGTTTAACAAGGGGCATGCTGCAAGGATCTGCAGCGAGCAGTGCACTACTGCAGTTATTTGGAGAGGCAGGTGGAGAGAAACACCTGCATTGCGCATCAAGTGTCATACAGAGCTAGCCTTATTCCCAGCAGCGTCAGCAATTTAGACTGTTTTCACTGTAGCATGAAATATATTCAGATACATACCTTATTTTATGCAATAAATTGTTTAAAATGCAAGATGGTTATTTTGTGTACTGCTGAACTATGTGGCCTCTCCCATCCTAGGCAGCTCTGTTGAGTTCTGCAAGGGATATTCTGTTCAGCACCTGGCACCAGCAGACGCTCCCAAGCCCACTTGGTTGTCTAAATGCCATACTGGTGATGGTTCCTTATGCTTACTATGCCTCTGGGCCTGACACAGGGACAGATTTGGCATAATAAGCCATTACATATCACCAGTGTTGCATGGTAGAGGAATCGGTGCTGGTGCAGACTCACCTCTGTGTAGCCAGTCTTTGTACTGTGGTCGGTTAGTAAACAGAGGTAGGTGGTGGGTGAGGACAAGGCATGGCAGGTAGAATTACAGCTGGAAAATGAAGTCAGTTTACTGTTTCTAATATTTCTAAACATTCTTGTGCACAATAAAGGACCCCAGCGACTTTCTTCTGCAGATGTAAGAGCTGTTCCTGTAACGGCACCACGGTGGGCTCATATGCAGCAGCAGGCTTCTTTCCGGTGGTCTGACCTCTGCACGGAACAGGAATGCAGATTCAGAGGCAGGTTGACACCAAATAAGTGTGTGTGAGTGCTTGTGTGTGACTGTATGTGTGCCTGTTACTATTTTCAGAGGTGATTATGGGAAGTAACGCTACTCTTACCTGAGAACTAGAGATTGTTTGAGGCCCCCAGTCCTGTCTGACCCCAGGCAGCTTATTTCTGCTGATCTTGGTAGGTAGGCCCCGGGTTGGTCTGAGACTTGTAATCTCTGTGGGATTTATCCATTTCACACAGTAGCTTCCAGAGGAATACTCACAGTCACAAGGAGAGAGGACAGATGGGCAACAGTTGTCAGTTCATGCTTGAACACTGCTTGGAAGGATGTACAAATGAAGGTCTCTGGGACTCTGGAGTTGCTTTTCTGTCTTGTCTGGTGACATTCAGTGGCCTCTCAGGCTACATTAACTGGGCCAAAGAAGACCTTTCCCACTTGCTTGAAGTTTCTAGCTCCTGGTGACCGATGCTTTCAGACTGTGCTTGAATGGGGCCCTGGGATTCGATGGCAGAGGAAGAAGTAGGTGTCCTTGCTGGGATCTCACTGGTAGAGGACTTGGCATGGATGACAGCCAGGGGAAGGCGAGGTTATGGCTCTGTCATTCCAAATCCTAACTGTCGTTTTGGTGAAGTTGGCAATCCCACCTTTTGGTTTCAGCTCCAAATGGCTTCTCAATCCTTATTTAGTCTTACTTTTCTGCCAGCCGTGAGAAAGAGCTAAGATCAGAGACTTGTAAATTCCTCTGGAGCTTGGCAAGCATATGGAGATTTTGTAGATGCCAACAGTGCTGAGGAAACACTGGGTACCCTAGAGGACTGCCTCTTTAGTGTACACACACACACACACACACACACACACACACACACACACACACACACACCACCTGTGACTCTGAAGTCTTTGAGGCTGGGCCTCTTTAAGGAATTAGTTTAAAAGTCAAAGCTAAGGCCATAAAAATGAACGAGGACATTTCTCTCAGCCCAGGGAGATTTAGACAGTAGCCTTCCGGTTTACAGCTCATGCCATGCTGTCTCCTGGCTCTAAGGTGAGGACAAAGACACAGCTCAGAATGGGGGCTGTTGTCTTTCAAAAAACCGAGAACCCGAGGGTTCAGTTTAGAAAGCAGTGAGTTTAGGCAATTGACAATAGGTTGTAATGATTATTCCCATGAGGCACTGAAGGAAACGTTTGTATGGTTAGAAGGAGCAGTCCTGGGCATGCTGCTCTGACTTGTCTGTTAGCTTGTGGGTTTCAAGGGATATGTAACACCAGACCCACAAACCCACCTACTGGAATTCATTCTTTTAGCCTGCATTTGCTTTTTCAGAAACTCTATAAACACTGAAACAATATTTAATATAAGAGGTTGTGAAGCTGACTCATTCAATTGTTTACTGCCCCCCCCTCCCCCAATGCCTTCTCCACCAGACACACACCTAGCCCATGAGATCACAGCATGGCAGTGACTAAAGCTTACAGGTACACTGTGAGAATTACACTTTTCCTTAGTAACTTTTAGCTCCAACACAAGAGCCAAGGATGAGGAGCCAAACTGGGATGGATGCCTCTTCACACAGACATGAGAATTGGGTACAAAAAGAGTATTATTAATATTTTGAAATTCTAAGTAGCTCCATTTGCTCTTCATCTTTATTGGGATCAAAAGGAAGTACGTTCAGAAAGCTGCCTTGATCTAGAAGAATCTATTCATCTACCTGCCTTTCTCTCAGGTGGTTTTACATCTCTTATCCAACTGCTCCTTTCTAGAAAGACTCCTAGGGTAAGCCTTTTAGATGCCCTCAAGCTCTCTTTCTTACCGAGGAAGTCCATGTGGCCTCTTTAGGTCCTGCCGACACTGCTGGAGATAGAGCGTGGCCATTCCTGGATTCCAGTTGGGCTTTGGAGACACAATGCTGTGGATGTGCTTGCAGAGTTTGCTCAGAATGGCAACTCCTCTGAAAAATCTCAGCAGTCGGGACGAGCAGAACGAAGAATACTTGCTTTCTGTTACCGTTTTGTTTTTCTCCCATGCCAGTCACCCATCCAGACTTGCCTGCACCCTAAAATCCCATGCAGCCCCATGGTTTCCTTAGATTGTACTGATTCCATCAAACCCTGTTGTGTGGCTGCCAGGGGCTGTTCAGAGTCCTTGGAGATGTGGACAAATCACAATAGCATTCTCAGTCTCCCATAGTCATAGGTTTTAGGAATAAAGATGTCATTTGATAGCTGGCTCTGCCAGCTGGATGTAGCACAAGGTTAATATCAGAGCACAGGGACCTCTTGCTGAACAAGGAACTTCTTCCCATACCCATCTTTGTCCCTAGGTGGGCTGGAGACAGTGTAACATGACAAGGTTAGGCTGGACAGTGATGCAGCTACACACCCTCTGGGGCCCTAGCTCTGCACGTCCATCTGTAAGTAGCTGAGGTGCCTTGTGTTCTGCTATCAGATGTAGGACCCCAGCCCCAGTGTGCAATGCTCACCTTTGCTGTGCCTCTCTTGAAATGGTGCTTCTTCAACTGTTTGCTTTCATTTGTAAGGTGCTGTATATACGTTGAACATATGCACATACTCTACCCAATGGGTAGAACAAGAAACTAATACTGTAATATATTGTATAGATACCAGTTTTACCAGAAATGGCATAAAACTTAAGAATGCCTATGTACTCCATCTTTTGTAAGGACACTTGCAAATGATTACATAAAGTCTATGTAGTTTATTTTCCTATGAAATATATTAACACCATGGGATGGAGTCTGGATAGCAGGCAGCAGTTTATGACCAGCACATACACAGGAACTGAGCTGTACCTCTGCTCTGAAACTTTAGCAATCTCTAAGATGTTCTTAATTCCTTTAGAAATGGACCGGTTTGGTTCTTTTAGTCAGGGGAAAGCTGTATTTCCGCTTGCTCTCTGTGCAGGCCTTCTCACTGCGGTACCAGACACCAGGCCTCACTGGGATGTGCAAACCTTTGAAGAAGACACACATGGTGTCAAAAAACAAGTAACCTGCAGCCGAGGCAATTTAGCCTCAGAGCACTTGCGACCCTTTGTGTCCCATGTTTCTCGGTGCCTTGTCTTGTAAATGGAAGCGATGAAGCCAATGGACTGTCTGGACTTTGTAGGGAGACAGTGCCTCGGGAAAGATGACTAGGGTAGGGAAAGGTTTTGGGTTGTCACTAGAGAATTGCCAATCAGCTGAGAACAGACTGACTTGTAAGTGCATTCCTGTTGTATTCTGTGGTAGTCCTGATCCCTCAGTTAGGTTACATGTTAGACTGCACATAAAGTCACACTTCTCCCTTCCAGCTCCAGTTGTGGCTTTGGCATTTTTAAGTTTCTTCCTTTGTCCTCCCTCCCCCCACAAGTCCCCTCTCAAGCAAAAAAGCCTTGGTGTCCATTAAAGCCACCATGGGTATGAAGTGTTAACAGCGATCGTGGAATGCTGCCGTCCAGTCTAATTCAGTGTGTCACTAATGATGTCTGGGGAATTCCGGGTTTTTTATTTTTTCTGTGGTATGAGCTCTGACTCTGAAAGTCAGAGACAGAATTATCCCCAATCAGGAAAAAAAAAAAATGCTCTAAGCTATTACTACTTATTCTGAATGTGCAACTCTTAGTGCCAATTCGGTCCTTTTTAACAGCTCCCTGCAAGAGCTGGGTAAAAATGTCAATAGATCCCTCCTATGTCCCATTCAAGTCCAAGTCAGTGTCTCTGTCTACTGCAGGGTACACCCTCAGGATCCCTGGGGTGAAGACCCAAGGCTCCATCACTGTCAGAAAACGAGCACTCTTCTGAGCATGGGAATGTTCTAGACTCAGTAGTAAGATGCATGACCAACTCGGTTCTGCAGACCCGGCCCTGGCTGAGGATCCCTCTCAATGATGCTGCTTCTATCAGATGCACTTGCCTTTCAAAAATCTCAATTCCAATTAATATCCTTGTTGAGTTTAAAGTTGTTTTAAAATATATACACTATCCACAACACTTAGTTCACTTAATTTTTATTATAAAGTAATCTACTAAAAAAGTACAACTGTAATTGCATCTTCCGATCTTTGTGAGCTATGATAATCAGAAGTCAAAGTCCTTTTGTGTTTAAACAACAATGTGCTTACTCTTTAACGTAACTCCTGGTTATATACGGGAAATGGTTCGCAACTGTCACCCGCCTGCATCTTTTGCTCAGGTGGGGATACAGTCTAGACCTCAGGTCTCTAACTGCAATACTTTTGATGAAAGACGTTGCACAAGTGCTGTTTGTTAGCGATGAAATCAGGTTTCTGCTTGTTCCTAATGCCATGATCAAATCATAGCACAAACTCATTAAAAATAATCAGTGACAAATATCTGTTCCCTGGGGTTTTGTTTGTTCACTTTTCAGCTACGACATACAAATAGACAACTGATGTATGATCAGTCTCAGAAAAATACTTTCTTTTTTGTGGAGTTGGAGATGGGACCCAGGAAACAGTTCTTCTTTGGGCTATACCCCAGTCCAAAGGATACTGCTGATCATTCTCTAGTTACTGACTCAAGAAAAACATTTGTGTGTGCACACAAATGGACGCATGTGCCACAGCTGGTGTGTGGTGAGGATAACCTGTTCGAGTCAGTGCTCTCCGTCACCAGGTGAGTTCCCAGAATGCAGTTAAACTGCCAAGCTTGGCAGTGACCATTTTAAATCCCCAGCTCACTGGTTGGTGGCTGACTTTTTAAAAGGATTTCCTAGGGTTCTATAAACCTGAGTAGAAGACATCACAGACATCACAGAATTCTCAATTCTGAGTTCTAACATGGGACATTCAGAATTGGTTCCTGAGAACTTCTAATCCCACAGGGGCTTTGGATGGCAGTCACACAAAGCCAGTCACACAGCAAGCTAAGTAGGTCTGGCAACAAATACTTAATCCCTGACATTGGAGGCCTTCAGCTGTTCTATGACCTGCACAGAGAGGAGCACATTTTATCTGTGCTAAGTAAGTGTATAGATTCTAGATGACACATGTATGCATAAACACCACATAACCTATCAAACAGTGAGGATAAGTGATAATAGATTTATTTTTTCCATTTCTGTAAATTTGCAATAAACAAATAGAAACAATTTCAAAGTCTTACTGGAATAATTGTGTGGGCCCAAATTCTAGTCCACTTCAGATTCAGAGTGAAGTTTTTTTTTGATGAGGGGACTCTTATTCTTAGTCACTAGCAGACCACACTGTGCTCTCAGAGAATTCCCAGAGGCTGTCCCCAGAGCTCCCAAACCTAACAGCAAGCAGTGTGAGCAAAGGAAGAGAGGTGCCAGGCTCTCCTGCCCCTCTGCCACTGGTACTGACCACCTCAGTACTAGCAGATTTGAGTTCCTCTCAGAAAGTCCAGCCCAGGTTCTCAAGAGTTGCTTCAGGAGAAGCAGGAGGACATCAAGAGGCATTTCTAAGCAACAGGCTTTGATGTTACAGCAGGAAGGTTGAACCCTTGAAGAGCATGAGGCTGGGACTCCAGTTTACAATGAAAGAGTGCCTCGTGGGACTACCTTCCGCCCAGGTCCCCTGGCTGAGGACCAAACAAGCTTTGAAGGCTTCTGGTAAGGCCTGATGCAGAAAACAAGGACTTTTCAGACAGCAGCTCACCCTGGGCCTTCTGAGTGAACATGCTACTTAAAACAGGTTAGATTTCCCTCACTTTACTGTTTTGATCTGTTTGGCTTACACAGATTCTAATTAAAATGTTTCTGTAAACATTTGCTACATATGGTAAAGAGCAGCTCAGACCTTGGGCCCAGCAGCCTTCAGACGGTTCGAGAGCTCACCTCTGTAATTAATGTCCCTGGCTGGAGGTAGTTCCAAACTCCTATCTATAGAGCACGTGCAATTGTTTCAGCCAAGCAGAGCTAAGGCAGAGACAGCAGCCCACCACACCCTCAAGTGTCCACATGAGGTGGCAGCTGCTAGCCAAAGAGGTCCTACTGTTCTTTCTGTCCACTTGAAGATATGGGCACATTAACCACACACTATCTTCTCCATGCAGGTCCTGTGGAGGCTGTCCCTGCACACAAGGCACACATCTGCCAAGGCAGTGAACAACACACAAGCTTTGCCGCACAGTTGTGTGGAAGTACCTGGAGTTTTGTTTTCATTTTATGGTACTGAGACTACTTCATAGGAAATCTTCCCTCTGGCCAAATGAATCGTGAGCTTTAATCTTCCTTTTCAAGGGACTCAGCGAGGGCAAGCACTCAATTTTGGTGAAACCTAGTATTTCCTAAGGATATCTTAAACTCCACTGCACCAAAATTTTCCATAAATAGAAGTTTCTGATGGCTTCAGATCTTCTAGAAACTGGCAACAATTAAATGGAAAAATTAGTCTCAGCAGCTTTCAAGTATGGCACTGTCTAATATTATACATGGATGGGAGGAAGGAAAAGGAGACAATCTGAGAATTTCTTGAGACCAAGTGGTCCCTGATATATGAAGTATTTAACATTACTATTTATACTTAATATAAAAAATCTAGACTTGATTGAGGTTTTTCTTCATTACTTTTAAATGTGGTAATTAGGAAAAGGCAAAAGGTATTATATGACCAGAAGAGAAACTAGTTTCGAGTATGGATTCAGTTGTGTGAAAATTGCAACCTGAATGCTTTGCTAAGGCCGACTTCACTAGATGGGGACGGAGGACAGAATGAGACTGGACCTTTAGCTTCCCCACCCCAGCCCATCTAAAACTAAAGGGGGAAAACGAAGGGATAAGGTCACAATAGTTTCTATCTCCCTTTCAGATCACTCTAAAAAGAGGATGGCCAGAGTAGAGTCTAAAGGAAGTCACGTTACAAGGTTAACAGCCAAAAGCTGAACTGTATCAGCAGAAGAGCCAGGCTATACATTACTGGCAAATTTGATGAACTGGCTTGACTTTTATTTTCCTTTAAGTCCAAGAGCATGGCCTGGCATACTTAAGTACCTGCCACAGGGGAAAGGGACCACATGAGTAATGCCTGGCTGAACTTCAGACACACAGGTCTTTGGTTTTTTCTTAACCAAAACATGGCTTCAATGTCCTGACATGACTCATCAGTGTTAAATTCCACAGTTCTCTAAGCCTTGGGTTTGAATTATTATCAGTGGTAAAAACAAAGGTAAAAGCTAACAATCTTAAAAACAAAACAGTGCAATTATTGAATAGTTTGCTCAACAAATACCGCATTAGGTCTGTGGACATACTTGACAGTATTTTTTACTTTGGGAGCAATGCACACCTGTTTGTTACTGGTCAGAAGAATACAGAGTACACAAGCTCCCGTAACCTGACTTTGCTTCACCAAGGAAACAGAATAATGTACTTGTTGCCTGAGGTCTTGGGCAGCAGGGCCCTATAACTACACTGCCGCGGCCGAATACCAAGCAGGTAAGGACATCCTACACCCATGGATGAGAGAAACAGCAACAGTAACAACCTGGATACCACAGTAAGAATCCTGAGGAGGTATGGATTCAAATGAGTAAAAACACGCTTGTCATAGAATCTCCAGTCTAACACTCCAGAGGCGCAAACAAGGCAACAGCTAAACTATGTTCATGTATGAACATTGCTGCCCTTCCTAAAATCAAATCCAGGATTAAGAGCTAACATTTAACTGGAAAAGGATGATACAGAATTGCTGTTTTGTGGAGCATCTTTATGGAATTGTCAAAATATGGCAGAAAGCGCCTTTTACTATGTGTATTTCATCTTATTAAAACAAAAAGGATGAAGTTAGGTTTCAATGTTGTTTCTAGAAACTGGTGGGTGCAGCCAACTGCAGCTGGAAGCTTCAGATCCTTGGAAGAACGCTGTGCTGCTGTGCACCTTGAACCAAAACTGTGCTTACAGAACTGTTGAGCAGACTTGCACTGGGCACACTCCTTCTCATGTCAGTGACTGCTAACATTTAAATTAGTCAAAGTTCAAGACAGAAAAGGCCGGACAAAGGGAGGTGGGTAAACGGGGGAAAGCAAAATTTCCAGCTAATCCACTTTCAGGAAAATCAGGAAGCAGGAAGCATACTTTGGCATGGAGTCATACTTCTCACCACCAAGGTTTGTTCACTGGACTGGTTTCCCAGAGAAAACAGCATGATGTACTTCCCCATAGCTCACTGGATAAGAAGCCATATTCTACACTTGATATCTGCTTCCCCAAGAAGGTCATTCAAGCAAATCCTCACAACAAACCACGCCCCACTCTGCCCTCAAGGGCTCTAAAATAACGACATTCTTCCTACTAAGAAGATCATTCTTATCAAAATAACCAAATAGTTGCCACAGGATAAGGAGGATCTGTAATTACTGTTAGTGACTATCAGTGATGTATAGGGAAGAACAGACCTTAATTTTCAAAGCTTAATCCTGGAGACGTAGGCCAACCACAGACTTGTTTTGACTGGTTAGAATGATCAAAGGTCATAGAAGTCTCAGAGGGAAAAATCAATCCAGCGAGCCTAACTCAGCATTTAACTGCGAGAAGCTCAGAGTATAAGAGAAAGTTTCCTTAAGGGGGCCATGAAAGGTCAAATTCTGGGAAAGGTGTGGCCCTTAGACCATTCCAATCATCAGGAAGGATGAGGTCCAGACTTTGCTGTATATGACTTTCTTCTTCCTTCTCTCATGGAACCTCTACTTAATACAAAACTGGTAAATAACATACACATGGGCCAATGGAGACCAAGCACAGTTACTATTTGAAGAATGGATGAGTGACAACTTCCTCACTGCCTTCCCGACACCTCTTCTGCAAATTTCCAATACAGAGACCCACGTATCCCTCAACACATGCTCATCCGGCATGGGGCCAATGCCTGGATAATTCTTTCATCATGTCCCTGCTAAAGTCAATTAAACAGTGAGCTCTTAATGCCAACAAGTAAGTGGCATGCAAGAAGGGCACTTAATTGGAACATTTAAAATTACCTTATTTTAGGTTTTATGGAGACTCAGTTTTGGAAATCTGAAACAATATTCAGAAAATGAACTGTAGCTACCAAGAAAATTATTCCTCTAATTCTACAACAACCTCTTTTAAGAAGCCCTTTAATAATTTTAAAAAAAGTGTGTATATTCAAAATTCTCTATTTAAAAAGAACTCAGAAATATTACTAACTTTTCTTGCCTCAATTGCAAAATTCACTTTCTGCCAATCTCATTGCTAGTGCATCAACTTACAATAGCTCAGCTTGTATTTTGAAGCAGTTTTGAAATCTTAAAAGACATGAACCCAGTGCAAAGGACATTAAAAGAAGCTCAATGTGTCTAAAATACAGCTTCATTGTCTGAACAGCTCTTCTGCCCACACTATAAAGATGCTTAAAATCCCTACAACTTTGGCCTAGGAACAAGATAGCCTCCCAGTCCTAGCTCACCCCGAGCATAAAGCCCTTCACTCTTTCATCTGTGAATGAGAAGACGGGGGCAGATTTTAAGTGGAAAACTTGGAAATATTTCAAATCTTAGTTTTATTATTTCATTGTGGGGAGAAGGCTATTCCCAATATACAAGCTTTTCCCTTTGGTGAAATCCAAACAGCACCCCATTTTGCACAAAAGGCTCTCAATAATGATGTGATGTTTTAAAAGGCAGGTTTTACTCTTATTCTTTAACAAACCAAGCTTCTTACCTAATTCATTTTCTTTTGAACTTACTAATTTGCTAAGCAAATGTTTTCTGTCTATTAAAAAAAAAACTCAGTCACAGCTTCATCTGTGACATCAGCGTATTTTTCAAAAGGATAAATGTGCACACCAGATGTGGAGCTTCCTCGTTTCCCTTGCAGCTAAGAGAAGCCCATGATCTGCTGTGAATAAAATGCAGTTCAGCATATACAAATCTATATTATACATTTTGATAATTTAAGTTGACATGTACTGTTGTCTGCTATCAACACATTGCAGGATCCCCGGCAAGTTGGTTGTTGTTTGTTTTAAGGATAATATTAACAACAGCATTTTATGACATCTCTGATGCCAAATAGTAACAATATAACTTCTCAAATCTTTAGGGACATTTTCATTGGATTTAAAAGCAGATAACAAACAGCTCCTTATTTGCTATAATTGGCAAGACACAACCCAGACTCAGAACTGGAGGGTAATACGACTCCAATGGACTAGGCAGAAGATATCTACTTGGGATAAAAGTTGCAGTCTCATGATTATTAGCAATGTCTTAAGAGCTCTCAAACTACCTCCACTAGATGATATGCCCTATGCACTGAGACTGGTAAAAGGTCTTAGGAGAAAAACTTCTATATTATCACATTTAGCATGGTATTCTTGGTCGTTTGGGAGAGGGGTGAATGTTAATACATCAGCATTTACTATCTTCCTGTTCAATAAACATGCTAAAGTGTGTTGTCCTGCTTATATGAAAGGGTGCCATCAACTTGCAGCAGTGCACTGAACTCTGCCTCAGATTAATCATGCTGCCAACACACAAAGAACAGAGACCCATGACAAATTCCTCTGTAATTCTCCAACCCAGAAGACTCCGACCATAGCATTTTCACTTAATGTTTCAATAAAATGACTAGATTTCTCAAATGTGAGGTTATCTCCTTATTCTCTAAATTTGGCCAAATTAAGCAGTAGACATAAATTCTGTCACAAAGCAGAGGCTGAATGGGATAGCTATGTGGCAAGGTCTCTGACATTCTTCTGATGGCAAGTCAAAACCAATGCCCTATAAAGAGGCCATTTCTTGCGCCAGTGTCAACCCAAGGGTTAAATAGACCTAAAGGAAAGCTCAGAGTGCACCCACACACAGAAAGACATTCTGCAGACATGGGATTTGCCTGCCAGCCTGATTCATTACAACCTAGAAACAGTCAAGCATACTATTTAAGCGGGAATTCTTCCTTCCAATATGACAAACACCACAATTCTAATGGAACCTATGACAGACAGGCCTCTTATGTTTTGACCAGGGATGTAAGGACCCAAATCCCACAGGGCTGATGTAGTGGAGCGATCTGAGATGAGCACTGCTCACCTGCTCTCCACGGACCCACCATGAGCCTCCATTCTCAAGCATCTGCAGCTACCGACTTGTTCCTACCCAATCAGCGGTGGTCTTTCAAGGCTTGATGGAGTTAAGAAGAGTGAACTTGAGTTGCTGATGTATGTTATTTCAATAATAAAGTTTATATAAAACTTTCATTTTCTTCCAAAGATTGGCTGGAGAAGACAGAAGCGAGTTACAAGAAAGTCTGACAATCCAAGTGTCCAACCACCATGCATAGTTAAGTCTGAAAAAGAATTTGCTTTAGAAATGTGATTTTGACAAGCTCCAGTTAAAAACCATTTTACAGGGTCCATTTCATCACATAACCAACATATCTTACTAATAAATGTAAGACTGGATTTATACAACCTTTTTGAATTAAGGGCTACATGTTAACTTGTAGGTAACTTCTCCAGTCTCTTACCCAGAGTCGGAATGGTGTTCATCCCCACAAAACTGGGCACTTAGTGGCCTGACCAGTACACACACTGCAATGTCAGAGACCGTGAAGCAGATTGGATTCTGAGGCTATGGAACAGGAACTCTGACTTTGAGGGCATTAGCTATTGCTTATTACTGCAACTCATATATAAAATTTGTATGCTGGGTTCATTTCATTTTGAAAAACATTGATTTTTCCCCTCCACTGTTATTTAACTTAAAAACAAAAAACCTCTTTGTTCTTTAACCCTCAGAGGATATACACATTTAGGCAAGCAAAAAAAAAAAAAAAAAAAAAAAAAAAAGACATTCTGAACATGTTCTTTGCCCCCAGTCTCTTAGGGTTAAAGTGTGGGGTTTTCTGTAACATCTTACATAAGGCACTCTTATTCCACTTTTTTCTTCAAAGAGACTTTTTCTTTGGTTTCTTGTAATTTTTCAGTGAGTCTATCCTTTGTCTCCTCCATTTTCTCAGTGATGAGCTCCTTAGTCTCCTCCATTCTGTCCTGCAGATACTCCTTGACAGGTGGTGGGGTTGACATGTACCCCTGACTTCGCAGATACTTCACGGTAAAGGACGTTCCTCCCAAGGTCACAGTATAGCGGGCAGGTGTTGCAATCTTAGGGGAAGAAGGAGGAAACAAAAGCAAACAGGCTGATCAACACCTGATTATGACTGTAAACAAAATTAAGTTGGAACTAAACATTTCGGTAATCAGCGTACACTTCTGTTAGAGAAGGCGAGTATAATACTGTATATCGTTTGTCTTTCTAACAAGGGCTACTTTTCTGCAGGCTTATTTTAAAATGTCTGTCCTCAGACCATATGACTTAAGATTTCAGGGTTATCACAGACAGCTGCACTGACACCCTAATGAGCATGGGGGCAGAAGGAGGGTGTGATTCTAACAGTAATACAGGTGCAGGTTTCTGTGCCCCAAAATCTCTGGCATGCACTATCTATCTGAGCTAAAATGCAGCCAAAGTTCAAACAGTGGGAAGCTGAGCAAGAGTCAGGTACTTTGCTGGATTCACGTTTGCTCTACTCTCAAATCGTCTCTCTTTAACTCTTTCTGCACGTATGCTACCATCTCACCATAGGGTCCGGAACGGATGTCTCCCAAGGCCACGGCAGCTCTTCTTTGTTTTCATCACAACGTAAGGACAGAAACTAAGAGACTTGAACCAGTGGAAGGGCTTTGCAAAAACAAATGGCCACCTGGTACCGGGAGCTCAAGCAGGCACAGCAAACATTCAGAAAGCACCTGCCATTCTTCTCGCAATTGTTCCTCTAATCCCACCAAGCCGCTCTCTTTAGTTCAGTGGCCTCTGTGGGACCAGACTCACCATTGACCTTATAGCAGCCTGGGCCCACTCTAAAACAGCTCCCTCTGCCTGACTCCCATGCACCTGGTGCCAGGACCACCCCCACGTGGATTTTCTCGGGCACACTGGCCACGTCACTGTAGCTTTTGGACAAGGTCTGTAGACTCTTCACTTTCACACTCCCACGATGGCCTGTCCAGGTTCCTGCTTTTGGTGTCATCTATATATTAAGAATTCTTAATTTACATCTCCATATTGAATCCCTTCCCTCAATTCAAAAACACATATAGCCAACTACCCAAATCATTTGCACCTGAATGTCTGACTTAATATGCACAAACTCACAGGCCTCAACTGTCCCAGTCAGACCTGCTTCTTCTAAAATTTTTACTCACTACAGAAAATGGTAACTTGTTCTTCCATTTACTCAGGCCAAAATAAATAGCTCTTAATTTCTTTAATGTAATTTGTATGCGTATCATTAGGAAAGCCCATGCGTTTCTTTAAAACATACCCACCATCCAATTGCTTCTGACTGCCTCCCCAGGTACCACTTGGGTGCTGACATGAGGACATGCAGCCTAGGCTTCTGTAGCAGACAGCCTCATCCTGATGCCCCAGCTTTTTACCACAGCTTTAACATGATAGTAGTTGCAGTGATTTGAAGTCACACATTCAAAGTAACCAATAGTTTCCCTATAACACACAGGCTCCTGATCTGGCAAGTCTTTCTGCTTCTCTTGCTCATTCCAGCCACAATAGCTCCTATCTAACTTTCTGGTACCTAGCATCCTGCAGTCCTCAAGGCTCCCTCTGCTGGGAACCCTTGTCTCTCTCTCCTCCCTGCCAACTGTTAACTGATCAACCTGTTAACTGCTAAGAGCACTTCCCATCTAAATCTGCAATCTAGGAGGACCACGGGTGGGGGCTAGGGACGTGGTGGTGGGGGTGTGAACAAAAAAAACAACACATACCAAAACATCTCCTTATCTGGTTTATTCTTAAAATATTTATGTGTATGAGTGTTTTGCCTGTACATATGTATGCACACTGCATGTGTGCCTGGTGCCCATAGAGGTCAAATGACTGAAGTTACAAATGGTTGTGAGCCAAAAAATTAACTATATCCTTCCTTCCTTCCTTCCTTCCTTCCTTCCTTCCTTCCTTCCTTCCTTCCTTCCTCCCTCCCTCCCTCCCTCCTTCCTTCCTTCCTTCCTTCCTTTTTTGAGACAGATTTCTCTGTTATAGTACTGGTAGTCCTGAAACTCACTGTGTAGACTAGTCTGGCCTGAACTCACAGCAATCCACCTGCCTCTGCTTCCTGAGTGCTGGGATTCAAGGTGTGCACTACCATCACCCATTGTGTATTCTTTCTTAATGATCATTAACATTTAGTATAATTTAAATATACACACACCATATATGCACACGTGTATGTACATGCATGCTTGAGTATTTTCAACCCTTCCTTCTCTGTCTCTCCAATTGCCCTTGACCTGCCCACTCTCCTTCCCTAGAATTCGCTCTCCAAGGGAAGTCTTAGCAGTGCTTTGTTTTCTTCCCTCCCTTTCTTTTTTAAGAAAGCTCATCAAGCAGACCAGAGCTTATCAAGCAGACCAGGCTGGTGTTGAACTTTCTCCCAAATGCTGGAACTAAAGGTGTACCTGGTCTGACAGTGTTTTCCTTATCAGTGAATTCCTGGTGTAAGCTCTGGACAAATCTGAGCCAACTACGGTGCCTGTTAAAGGAGCTCTGATGTGTAACCAGCTAGCTGCCCAGCACTCTTTCCTTATGTCTATCATACCTCACTTTGGAGCTTTGCCTTAAGGAAGAAGGCATCTCTGTTGTTCTACTTGAAGTCCTGTGGGTTACAGAAAACTCAGGACATACTCCATTTCTCACCCTACAGAAGGACATGAGGGGGAAAAATCCACAGGGTTTGTAGGTTTCCAAATATGCTAAGCACTAATGCACCTCAAAGTACACCAGAGAGTGCAAAAACACAAACACAGGCCCCTGGATTTCCAGGGGGTTCATGAGCACATAAAGAAAACTCTTAAATCAGATGCTATAAAGAAAGGAGTCAGAAAAAAATGACAAACCACCATCGTGTACTCTGATGTGCTAAATTTAACCTACCACAGCTATAAAACACTGTAAAATATGAGAAAAACACAGCAATTAAGCTCTGAGAAAAATTACCTGAGATCTCAATGATTCTAGTAAAGATGATAGAAAAAAACATTACTTCCGAATAATACTATGTCACTCTATGTGTTTTTACACAGCAAAACACCACGACATAATAGTAATACATAATACTGTAAGTCATTATTCTACATACTTTTACACAGAATAGTAACATCTACTTTCCCCAAATTTTCATTTTATTTGAATAGGGATATCATAGAATCATATTTTTAAGTAAAATACGAGATTAATATAGCTGAATTCTATGATTTACAATGAGACTTCCCCTCTATAATAAAGGCAGGCATAGAGACTTTCTATAAAAGCAGCACTGTGTACACCCTGAGAAGTTATAGACTCTCTAAAGTGAGAACACCTAAGAACTAAGCCTGGACTGTGTCACACAAAACAGTGTGAATTCAGCCTTCACAATCCCATTTTCTAAAGGAGGGTAAACTATTATAAATAATAAAGCAAATGCTAGATTTCAGTAACAAGTCAGGGCAGGGGGATGCCTGAGCCTGGCAGACTATGGCTTACCTATTTTTTAAGGCACTTCTTCCTAAAGTCATAGTTTTATTTTTGTACCTTCTGCTCATTAGAAATACAAAATGTGAAATAGGATATTACTATATATACATATATACATACATATATGTATATATATAAAGATATATATATATATATTATATATCTTTAATTCAGAGCTCAATGTGAGTTTCCTAGGGAGAGTAAGCAAGGAACCTACCTTAAACATGGCATATGCTGTCAGGGCGTTTCCACTCTGGGAGTTTTTCAGGATGTCTACTACACTGTCAGGTAATCCAATGACCTCTAGGAAAGGGATGACATTCACTCCTCTGAAAAGGAAACATATAATTTAGTCCTGTATAAATAATCCTTTAGGGACAGTATTTTCAGGAAATTACCTGGAAACAAAGTACAAATTTGCCATAATATATATTCAATTCTATTTGCTCAGGAGACAAAGAATAAGGCTGTGGGCTCAAGAATTGGAGACCAGCCTGGGCTACATAGTGAGCAAATCAAAAAGCAACAGTAACAAATCCACACCTACCCAAACTAAACCACCACCACCAAAGATAAATAAATAAAGTCTAACAGCTGATTCTGTGTGACTGACTGCTTTCATTTCACTCTCTCAAAGTTCAACACACAAGTAGTACTGCCGTCCTGCATCTCACAAGGCCATTAAATTAGTCTACTTAAAAAGCAGACACTATTTATAGTCAAAGTAATGGCTTTAAGTAAACCAGGAGAGCAGGGTCAGAACTGTTTACTTGATATTCATCTCCTCACACAAATACCATTTTCTTAGGACACGTCAACTCACAGTTCAGGATCTTATATTCTTACCTTTAAAACTTCATCACTACCACTTCTGTGCTATCAGGCAAAGAATGAGTGATTCTGTGGGCTTGGCAAAATAAAACTATTCTAAAAGTATGTATTCTTGCTTATCAGATAAAGAATATTTATAATAATTATTCTCTATGATAATAAGGTAAGGAATAATTACAGTAAATTGCAACAGATTCTTGGAGGGAGGGAAGGCAAAGAAATTCCAAGCTGTTAAAGCCTTGACTTAGGTAATTTTAGTTTCCTCATTTTATTGTACCACACTGTTCTAATCTTTCCTCTATGTATTTGTATCAGGACAAGGAATCATCCAAACTTGTAATTATCACATTCATAAAATTTAATACACACAGTAGTATATGGTTAATACAAAAAGTATATTAACATAAAATCTGTAATTTAAAAATTTGCCTCAATATACTTGCTGCTTTTTCTCTGTGCAGTCTCCCCCTTCCTAGATGTGGAAACTCTAGAGAGAACCAGAGTTTTTAGGGGTGGGGGAGGCATAGGGACTTTTAGATGTCCAGGATAGCACCCAATTGGAGAGTGAGCTTGTTTTCTCATGGGGAAATTTAGGTTAAATTCTCCTTCAGCAAAGCCTCGCAGACTGAGCTGTGTCTGGTTTAGCATATGACAGTAATATGTAGCATCCCTTTCTTCCCGTGTTCCATCCCTGGCACTTCAAAGTGCACCTTTAACTAAGGCAGGGTGCTCATATTACTCCATTATAATTGTTTCTTTCCCTTGTCATTAAGTAAGGGAATTGCCTAGACAAAGGTAGTTGGATGCTGTTAATTTATTTTTAATATAAAAATAATGGGTTAACTGTAATAAGCCCCTGAGAGTACTCTGAGTAGACATCGCTAATCATTACCCAGGAAGACTAGCTAGCATCAAAAATAAGAAGAAATCAGAATGGCAGAAAGAACCATTTTAAAAAGGTAAAATTAAAAATCAACCAGGAGTTCAATACTACCATTTATCTGCATATTCAAGTTTCTTTTAAGACAACAATACAATCCTATGTAAGCCTCAGTATTAGACTTGGCCTTTTAAGTTTTTAAAGCAACATCTTATAGCAAGCTAGTTTAATCTTTTAGCACAACGATGATTATGAAATTATTTCACTACTTCCCAGTTCCAACTAAACCCAGCACATAAAATCTATGCATTTAACACCAATAATAAGACAAAATTTGGCCAAATAAGAAAANCACCCCCCCCCCCCCCCCCCCGGAGACAGGGTTTCTCTGTAGCTTTGGAGCCTGTCCTGGAATTAGTTCGAGGCCAGCCTGGTCTACAAGAGCTAACAGAGATCTGCCTGCCTTTGCCTCCCCACTACCACCCAGCTGAAAACTTATCATAAAGATAAGAATCTAAATCAAGCCAGAAAACTCAATGTTTGCCACTTTGTGGTCGGGCAGGAATGTGCGCTTTAACTGTCAGTTTATGACGTTCAACAAGGCCTAAGAAATATTCACTATCTAGAGGAAGTACAGTAAACACCAGCAGAGCTGTGGCTGAGAGTGCACCTGTGTGATCAGGAACCCGAGTCTATGGACACACAGTATGGGCAACACAGTTGTTATTGAGCCATAAGTAATTACACTCAATATTTATGTTTAGAGAACAGACCTCTGCTACCTTTTGCCAGACGGTAGCAGTCAGGAAGCTCAATATAAAACACACCCATTAGCATAATTTAGCTCTGTCTGAAATACATTTAAGAGCTTCAGAACATTGCCACCTAGCTAAATATAGGATACTTTGCTTTCAGACCGTGGGAGTAACTAAAACAAACAGGTCATAAGTACAACATTGATGCCAATGTCCATCCTTCCAGAAACAGTATTTTCTCCCTTTCTCTTACTAGTAGAAAGGCAACCAATAAGGAAAGAGTGTTTTCCAGTTAGAACACTCTTAAAGAAATACAACATTTCTGTTAGCTGGATGGAAAACTGGAGCTTAATATAACCGACTTCAACCTGACAGTAAACCATTCCCACTGGAACATGTACTAATTCTGTTTTCTTTTGTAGACAAGAATATTTTATAAAGTATTACTTGTGGTTAAGTCATCCACTCAACATATGTGAACTCATTAGGACAGGCTGTCATACCGGGCGGTAGGTGGTGGCTCTTGGCCATGAGTCCATGTTGCCCAACAACCCCAGGCAAGCAGGCAGTCTCACCTCTATATTCTGACAGCATTTTACAGAAGAAGAGAAAGTCAAGATCATGTATGACAGAGTCACCCCTGCTGCTTTAGGTGAACTGAAGAATCTAAAATACAACTATTATCTCCAGGATACTTGGGGTCTGCTTTTTCAATAAAATAATTTGTTTATCATTTGATTGTGTTCTGACAATAAAGCTTGCTTGGAGTTAAAAGGTGGAGCTAGCCATTAGCTGACCAAAATTAACCACAGAAGTTTGAGCGGGCTAAAGACAGATTTAGAGACAAGAAATAGAAAGGCATGGCTGAGAAAGGCTCTTGGCTCTTTTGGATTGAGGAAGGAGAGGGAGGGAAGGAGGGAGGGAAGGAGGAAGGGAAAGGGAGAGGGAAAAGGAAAGAAAAAGGGAGAGGGAAAGGGAGAGGGAGGGGAAAGAAAGGGGGGAGGTTTCTGGTTGCTTCTCTGCTGCTTCTCTGATCATTTAGGTTCTTAACCCCAGTATCTGACTCCCAAGTTTTTATTGATATGCTATAATAGGCCAAAAAGAAACCTCATACTCAATTAACTAAGGACATAAGGTTTCCTCACGAGACCAGAAACTGGGAGAAGACATGATCTTTGACAAAAATGAACCACAAGAATCCTCAAGTGGCTCAAAAGAGAAAACGCATTATGTCTAAAGCCACATATCTGATGGCAGAATTAAATGGCCCCAAGAACTGAGTAGCTTCTGTCAAAAAATAGGGCAATTCTGAGGACTTCTACAAATATTAAACATGTATAGAAAATGTCTTTAACAAAAAATATAATGAAAAGAAACAAAGAAACAGAACAGTATCAATTACATAAAGAAAACCTGTCCCTCTAGAACTGCAGTGAGAAACACCCAAACCCTTGTTTTCCAGGAAGAGTAGCCCACTTCCCACCACCCTGGAACAGATACTGTAGCTATCTTGGTAGATACTCTAAAGGAAGACACCTGTCTTTCTGTATGCAGCTATCAGACTGTTGAGGCAGACAGAGGTCTCCAAGAACTGGAACTACCTCAGCTGTCATCTGCTAAAGGAAAATGCTAGAGCCTTGGAGGCCAGCCAAAGGGGGAACTTGCTGACTTTGAAGGACAGATACGAACAAGACAATGGTGGACAGTGATGGATGAGACCACACTTTGATCAGAATTGATTAGTTATGCCTATCTCTTGTCTTCTGTTTAAACCTAAACCTCACATCAGTAGCACAAAGATGGACTCAGGTTTGTATTTGTGGCTGGTGGTGACTGGACTCATGCTGGTCACACTGAATAAATCAGCTTTCTCTGCTTTTACCATTAGTTGTCTTTTAAGTAGATTATTAAAGGGAGCTAAGCCTAAGCCCATAATTTGACCCTAAAAACTCCAGTAATAGTATTTTTCATTCAGCAGGCTCATCAGCTTCTCTGCCAAGGGGTGATCTCCTTATACACAACTGTTGTATTTTGTTAATGCCTTAACAGCAAGGCATTAAACACAAATAAGGTATTAAAAAATTAGTCGACTTTGATTAGAAGAGTTAACAAGTGTTAACAAGAGTTAACAAGTTAAGGTCACGGCATGTGGCCCTTGCAGAACTGCAGGTTTTCCTGCTTTCCAGCAGGGTGATGAATACACCTTACCTTAAAAGGCAGGAACTGTAACCAAAAAAGATACACTTGAATACTTTCCATCCAATACCAGAGGGTAGGCCCACCAGTCTCACTTCCCATCAGAACAAAATGACTTAGCATGCTATCAGTCAGAATGCATAATCAGTCTCAGCCTGTGATGAGTTCATGTTAGCTAGGCAAAAGAGCCTGTGGATTTTCTGCCAATACTATACACTCACCCAAACGAGTAGTTTTTCACATGTAGAAACACCATAGAAACATGTAAGTATAGAACTCGTGGTTCAGCCGCATTTCTAAAACCTAGTACTTAGGCTGGAAAGATGGCTCAGTGGGTTAGGGTACTCACTGCCAAGTCAGCCTGAGTTCATCCTGAGACCCATAAGGTGGGAGAGAAGTGCCAACTGCAAGTTACCTTCCGAACTCCACATGCATACCCACCCACCTATCCAACAACAAATAAATGTAACAAAACAACAAGGACCTTACTTCTGAGTCCTCTTAAACATGCAAAGCTGTCAGCAATGAGACCAGGAGATGGCTCAAAGACCAGAAAACCTATTCAGTTTCGGTGTGGGCTTCACCTCTTATCAGTTGAAGTAGCTTATTTCCCCTCACCCAAACTGTTTCCATATTCATACATGGGAAGAACTGTATCACTTACTGTATTTGGTTGTTGGAGGAGTAAATGAAGATGGTAGTTAAAAACTGAGCAAAACACTTGCACCCATAAACAAACATTAGATATTCTCAATAAAATGTGATAATAGCTATAAAAAGTAGTTTTCCTCTGTCAATCAAGGCATGAGACGGAGAAGGGCTGGAAAGAGAGCTCAGTGGTTAGCAGAGTATGTTGTTCTTGCACAGGACCAGAGTTTGGTTCCCAGCTCCTAAAGAGGGCAGCTCACAACCACCTATAACTCCAGCTCTTGAGGAATTTGATCCTCTGGCCTCTATGGGCACCTGCATTCACATGCACACACCCAACACAGACACATATGCATTTTAGAAACAAAATAAATCTTAAAAAAAGTTAAGGGCCAGTGAGATGGTTTGGTGGGTATAGGTGCCCGCCTGCAATCCTGACATGAACTCGCACAAGGTGAAGGAGAGAACTGGCTCCTACCAGTTGTCCTGACCGCCATGTGCTTGACCGCCTCCCGCCCCACGTACAGATAATAAAATAAAAACTAAGGCTTTCAGCATAAACAAGAAGACTAACGTGATAAAAAGTGGGAAGGCAGTCAACTAAGCAAAGACTTACTTTATAGCTGCATAGTAAAATGTTCCAAACCAAATACCAGAAGTTATTAGATGCACAGGAATTAAGACTTTTCCATATTGTCTGAAGGTTTTCTTAAACCGTTGATAAAGACTAATAGACTTGTCATGTAAAGGATCTGGCTCTTCCTTCTTTTCTGATGGAGTTTCTTGGGATGTGGCGCTGGAAGATAAAACCCTCTTGGCTAAAATATCCTGCTCCCATCGTTCCTGGTGAAGGACTCCTTGCTGAGATGGCTGAGCATTTACTAGATTCCTTCGCTTTGCAAGGCACTGCACAGCAGGTAAATGTAACCACTGCTTCCGAAGGTGTGGTGTCCAAACTAGTCTGTATTCATCTCTATGCCAAGGTAAGGGTCCTTTTATGCTCCCGTGGTGAGCGGAGAGCTTGGCTTTCAGTGGTTCCCAGACTGTCCTGAGTGTCAGCCGAGACATAGTCCGTGGTACATTCCACTGCATTTTGAAGGATGGTGATGGATTTCAGCTTCTACAGAGACTAGATTTAGAAAAATTATTGTATTACATATAGATTTCCACTTTAAGTCAAACTATTTAAAAATTAACCATAATTCATTAGAAATAATAGGACAGACAAACTGACACCTAATCTGCAGGAAATGTGGTTAAGTTACATAGTTTTCAGGCACTGGAATTTTAACATAAAACACATTCTTCAAACACAAGAAGTCTGCTTAGCAGGCATCACAAATGGTAACACTAAGAAACCCTTCCACCACTGAAAACGGGAGGTTTGCAAGGACTCTTCTGTTGTACAGATCCGAGTACAGATGTTTGGGAACATAATTCCATGCACTTTGTTATCAGACTCTGCCTAAGCCAACAAGTAAAATAATAACTACTTTAACAAGGTTCTTACAGAATTGTGCTATTTCTGGTGGAAAGCTACTCTGTAAATACAATAAATTCACAAGTGTTAAGGTTTGGATATTTATGATTAGTACTATCTATTCTATAAAAGCCTTTAAGCAAGTAATAATAAAGTTCTAAATCACATACTTTATTGATGATGGTAAGAGACAGCCTGGTATTTTATCTTCTTTCCCCCTATATCAAGAAAAGAGAAAGAGAAGAAAAGATGTCTCATGATTTGACTTGGCATTAGTGTTGATACAGACTGACAAGGTACTTAGGAGAAAGGAGGATTGCAAGATGAGGGTCAGACTGGGCTACAAAGAGTGATTCTGTCTAAAGAATTCAAGGGGCCGAAGAAATGGCTCAGCAGTTAAGATTACTTGCTATTTTTCCAGAGGACCTGAATTCAGTCGCCAGCACCTACACCAAGCAGCTTACAGCCCTCTGTACTTCCTGCTCCAGGGGATTGATTCAACACCCTCTTCTGACCACAATACAATCATGACAAGATATTAACCCCCCTTACCTCCACTAAAAGGTAAGATATCATTTTAAAAGAATGTGGACTTCAGAAAAAGACAAGGTTTAAACTTAATCAAGAATATTTTGGGGCAAATTATTTAGTCTCTTTAAATGCATGTTTTTCAGTAGCAGATGGAATTATAAGAACTACTAATGTATAGTCTTTGTTCCATCCCAGCATTTTTTAAAAAGACTTATTTATACTTCAGTGTGTATACGTGTGTCAGATTACCCTAGAGCTGAACTACAGGCAGTTTTCAGTCATTTAACATGCGTGCTGAAAATCTGTCTTCTGGAAGAGCTGTGACTGCTATTAATGACTGAATCATCTTCAGACCATTTTCCACTCACATATCCCAGGGCTTCCCGGATGTCCTTTAAATACATAGCAGCCTAAGTGGTATATCTTAGCACATAATAGTATATTTACTGTCCATTCTTTCCTTCCTTCTCATTATTTCCTATCCCTTCCCTTGGGCATCCCCAGAATGTCCTATTCTCTCTTTGTAAGAATTATAGGTAGAAATATATGCTCATAGTAACTGTTCTAATTAACACGTGTTTTGTCCTCTGTATTCATGCTCTTGTTAGTACTTCTCTCTGGCATTGGAGTCAGTTGTTTCTGAATCATCTTTCTGAAGCAATTTTGTGTGTGTGTGTGTGTGTGTGTGTGTGTGTGTGTGTGTGTGTGTGTGTGTATGTGAGGTTTCCTGTAATCCTTTTCAAGAATGATATGGGAAAAGTCTTTGCCAGTTATTTCATGGTAATTTTTAGGTTCATTTGTTGAACCACAGGGCTAAGTCACTTGTCACTGCTCATGAGTCTCTGAGTATGTAAATTTTTGTTTGTTTCTAATTACGGAGTCTGGCTGGCACTGACTGCTGCAATTTCTGCATAATGTAAGACAGTGAAGTGTCTTGTTCAATGTCCTGGGACCGTACTCTTCTGGAGTCTGAGGGCTATAACGCTCCATTTTTTCTTGAGCTTTGATGCCTAGTTGGGGTATTATCTGACCAGGCGGGGCTCCATTTCTGATGTTAAAATGGTATGCTCTGCCCTTGGAATAAATTCTGGCAAGTCTATGTACATTTTGTGTATCCCTTCTATGAGGAGCCCTGACTTGAAGCCAAGATCCCTGCTTTGTAGGCACTATTTAGAGCAACAAGTTTCTGGCCAATTTGAACACTTGCCAACTCTTTTGGACTAAACTTTGTCCAGTAGAGCAATGGCACTATATACCTGATTATATTAGGCCTCTTGCGAGTGTAACAGTCTGCATCCTTCAATGCCTCATAAGTAAACTAAACACTTTTTTCAAAAAGCATATTAATTATTTGGTGCTGTGAAAATTTAATTTTCCAGAATCTTACTGGGATAAAACTCTGTTGTGTATGATTGTTTCTTGATCCAAAAGAGCCATGTGCTATAATGACTTATAACCTTAATTGTGCACTAGGAGGTATGTATTAAGTTTTATAAGGCATAAAAATAATCTTTTAATGTCTTTTGAGATTGTTGTTCTTCTCGCTAATAAAATTCTGTGACTTTCTGTGATTTTAGGATGATGCTTACATAGGGTAAGTGTTGCTTCCAGTAACCAAATAGAACTTGGCAACCTCTGTGCATCTTCTTTAGGTGTAAGCACCCCTACTGCACTAATTTTGTTTTCTCTTGTTTTTGATTATATGCCTGCTTTTTGATGACAGCTGAAGCCCTAAAAAATTTTTTTAAGTGGTGTGTGGTCTTAGTTTTTCTTATTAATTCCTCCTCCCCCATCACCTAGCCACTTTCACGATCAACACAGAACACCCTGTGACTAAATAGTTTCCCCCTTTTTCTTCTTCTTCTTTTTATAAAACCACACCATTCCTCAGAGGGTTGACAACAACTGGATATTTTACCTTACAAGGTGATTTGGACAGTATATTCCAATTAAAGTCAGATCTCATCGTACAAGGTTAACATCACTCTGACACTAAAACCAGACAATGATACAACTAGTACCACTGGTGAACAGACAACACTAAACTCCCCCCGCCCTGCCCAAATATTGGCAAATCAATTCTAATTTCACAACCAAAAGTTCATACAGCGTGCTAGGTGAGATTTTCTACTGGGGTGAATAATGGTGCAACATAAGAACATTAAAAGATCTAACACACATCAGCTTAATGAAAATTGTAATTGTATTTATAGGTGTAGAGAAAGCATGTATGTAGTAACTCTCCAAACAGATTAGGGATGGAAGAATACTCTACACAACTTTTACATGTGACAAACCTATAGTCAATGCCATACTAAAATGAGGAAACCTGAAAGTGTTTCTTTTCACATCTGAACACAAGTATATCTACTTTTGCAATACATAACTTTAGCCAAAGCAATGATGAAATATGTATATGAAGAGAAAAAATTATCTTTGTTTGCAAATGATACAATCCATAAAAACACCTAGACTCTACCAAAAGACTCACAGGATTGGCAAATATAACAAGCTGCAAGATACAAAAACCATAAAGTTTATCATTTTTATTTATGAATTAATAACATGCATTCTTTGGGAATTATACCTAACTGTGATGCAGACCCAGCTTTCCTCCTTCCAGCGGATTTCCCCTCTAACCCACTCGCATTCCATTGTGTCAGCCTTCGATACCAAGACACACTATCCACCTGGGCCCCTGCAGCCATACCAGGCTGGGACTAAGGTGACAATTCATACGATCCCTCTTGTCCTCCACTATGATCTCTCCATTCTTACCCGCAGCTCTCCTCCCACCCCAGTCCCATTCACTGAAGGCTCTGGATACAAGTGCAGGGTCCCATCCCCTGCCCCCATCCATTCATCTCTCCAGATTATTCTCTGTCTTACTGTAACTTCCATACACTGCATCTCTGACTTCCTGGGGAGTTCACCTCTTGGTGCGGACAGGACCCCTTAGCTCTTTCCCTTGGCTTCTCTCAGCCTTCCGCTTATTCCTTCCATCTCTTATTTCTCTTTGCCACCAACCAACTACAAAAACATTCTCTGGAGGCAACTCAACAGCCACACACTTTCTGAGATCCATAGTGAGCAGCAGAAACCAAGGACCAAAACACCCAGCCTACAAAAATCAAATGTCCACAGCTAGAATCACCCCAGTCATCAGACCTCCAGGTACCTAGAAACCAGCACAAAAAGACAATCTGCTTCCACCAGAATCCATAACCTAGAACGAGGCCCTCATAAACATAGAAGAGCTGAGGCATAAGACAAGGGCTTCAAAATAGCAATTATGAATATGTTCAAGGACATTAAAGAGGAAATAAATTCCATAATAAAGTCTATGAAAACAGAAACAGAGGAATGAAAATAATGAGAACAATTCAGGGCATAAAAGTAGTATTTAACAAAGAAATAGAATCACTAAAGAAAATCCAAACTGAGATAAAACTGGAAATGGAAGCCCTCAGAGACAAGTCCACCAGTAGAAACAGAGAATGACGGGTGCTGAAGACATGGAAGAAAACATGCGCATACCAGTCAAGGAAATCTCAAATCTAAATCCCCATGCACAAAACACGAAGGAAACCTAGGTTACTATGAAAAGATCAGATCTACAAATTATAGGACTAGAGGAAGAAGAAACAAAAGTTAAATGCACAGAAAATATTTTCAACAAAACCATGAAGAAAAACTTCTCCAACCTAAAGGAGATGTCTATCAAGGTATATGAAGCATATAGAACATCATATAGGCAAGACCAGAAAAGAAGTTGCCTTCAGCACATTATTAAAAAAAATAAATGTACAGAACAAAGAAAGAATTTTAAAAGCTGAAAAGGAAAAAGACCAAGTAACATATAAAGGTAGTTCCATTAGAACAGCAGTTTTCAACCTGTGGGTCATGACCCTTTGACAGGGGTCACCTAAGACCACAGGAAAACAGATATTTACATTATGATTTATGACAGCAGCAAAAATTGCAGTTTTGAAGTAGTGGGGGGGGGGCACCAGAACATGAGAAACTGTATTAAGTTTGCAGCATTAGGCAAGTTGAAAACCACTGCATTAGAACAATACGTGACTTCTCAATGGAGATTCTAAAAGAAAGAAGGTGTTGTGGGAATTCATACAGCCAATAGCCTTTTGGGTACTGGCCCATTAGGACGTGATCTGAGGAAGTACATGTGGACTGATAAGTGCAGAGCTTGCTCTCTCTCTTGGCTGGTGGTCTGGATTCTGTTCGTTCACAGCTTCCAGTGTCCACAGAGCAGAGGAACACAGCAGTTTTCTTATTATGAATGTTCCCCAAATAAACACTTGTTGTCCTCTATTCCAGGTGCTCGCAGACCTCGTGAATTGCGCCTACAAGACCTGGACAAATGTACTACGAACCTGAAGAGATCACAGATGCCTGGCTAGACTATTATATCCAGCAAAACTATCAATCACAAATGATGAAGAAAGAAATTTGGTTTACATGATAAAACCAAATTTAAGCAGTATCTATTTAAAATCCAGCTCTACAAATGGCACTAAAAGGAAAACTTTAGTCTGAAGAGTTTAACCACATTCAAGAAAACAAAAGAATAACTAATCCTAGACCAGTAAATCAAGAGGGGAGAAAACTCATATCATAACAAAATAACAGGAATTAAACAAACCTTAGCTCATTGATATCTTTCAAC